GTGAAAACACAGAGATATCTCTAGGAATTATTATTAATCGTTGACATCTCTCCTCCTCTTTTCTTTTCTTTTTTTTTTTTTTTTTTTATTTTTCGTACAATCGTGGAAACGACGAGCAAAGAGAATTTTTTTTTCTTTATTTTATTTTCAATCTTCTACGCCATTCTACGAGGACAGAAGTTCGCGCGTAACGCGAAAGAAAGGAAGAAAATCTCTTGGATAAACAGCGTTGGACCGGTACCAACTATCTTTATTACGGTAATCTCGCGGTGCGTTGCTCTTGGATCGGTCGTTGCTTGGATCAATTGTGTTGCACCGCTCGCGGGCAATAATAAATGGTGTCTGAACAAGGTTCGTTGAGCAGTGGGCCAAGATCCAGATATATTTGTCACAGGCTTAGCAAAGTTCCCGATTATTTTTCCAATACGATTCGGTAAATATTCATTCCGTTGCTGTAATTTAAAACGTTTCTTCAGCAAGTGGATCAAAAAAAAATTAATTATTCTTCTAATCGCGAAATTATTGCGTCCTTCCGAATGGTCCATTTCTCGAAACGATACAATTTTCGAATATGACAAAGGTGAAGATTGAATTTCGTCTCGAAATTAATGCATATCAGTTCGATCGAAGATTTATCGAAATTCGGTTTTCGGTGAAATTTCGAATGAAAGGCTTGAGATAAACGCACGATCGATTTTTACCACGCGTAAATCACCACCAAGATTCGATGGAAGTTTGGAACAATGAGTTGGTCGGGTTTCGTTTACTCGATTGAGAAATGGCCGCGCGCGGCACAAAGAGCTCGTTGTGAACAAGGGATTGGTGAAATAATTAACGATTAAAGTGTCCACCGGATCGGCCATTCCATATTTTTATATAATCTTCTTCGAGCTACTTACACACACTTTTTTTTATCAGTCGTTCTTTCTTTCTCATCGTTGAAACACTTTCGTTTTTTAAACCTAAAAAAACCTAACCTCCAAATAACTGGAACTGCCGTATCATCCAATGATTTAAAAAAAAAAAAAAAAAAAAAAAAAA